TGGGGAAAGACACTCCAACAAGCAATGTGGGCCCAAATCATGGATTGCTCCTATTTGGCCTTCCCCTTCTCCTGCTGCCTTCAACTTTTCCTGACATTACTGCCTTCTCCAGAGAATTTTGACTTCTCATGAAGTCAGAGAATCTTGACTTCTCATGAAGCCCTGATTTGCTCTAGGACTCACATGTTCATCTTTCTCGCAGTCCAAGGTATCTGTAATTTCTCCTGCAGCACCATATTTCAAACGAATCAATTTTTCCCCTCTCAGCCTTTTCTTGGATGCACACTTAGTTTCAAACGAATCATTTTTTTTTCCTGTCAGCCTTTTCTTGGATGAACACCTACATTTGGTGAGGAGGTTTGTGAGCATCAGAGAAGTTGAGAGCAATGCCATCAGGAGGCTCGACTCCATTATGAACCTGGACTCCTATCAGGGTCACCCAAGGGGGAGTGTTTATAGCCAAGGCACCAGACTAAGATTATCCACCCTCTTCGGGAGTAACAGCAGCATCAGCAGAAGAGAATGGATAGTTCCAATGGGGATGGAGATGGAGAAACTTCTAGGGAGGGCAGCTACTGATCTGTAGCAGTAGCTGAAGGTGAGAATGGTGGAGGATCTTTGATAGACAACTACAGACATGCAAGCTAACTTTTGTTAGTATTGCTGAACAATACATACCTTTAAAACTCTATGATGAGACAGTCCAAAATGAAAAAAGAAATATTGCTGGATAATTATATTCTCAGGTCAGAAATTGCTCAATCAGCTACAGGGCAAGGGCAAGGGACAAGTACAAACAGTGCTATCACTAATGATGCAACTAGAGTAAAGCCAAGAGGATAGCTCAGGCAGTTAGTGGCTATAATACAAAGTTTGACCAAATAATATCAGTCAATCTCCATGGAAAACCTATGAAGATAACCATTATTCAAGCCTATGCTCAACAATTAGCTTGAGTGTCAGCTCTTTCATCTGTCCCAGATCCTCTACTACAATCACCTTTCACTGCTGCTGTTGTCCAATACCTGCCCTTCAAGAATTCCTCCACCCTCAACAATGTTAGCATTAGCAATTCTTTTCTGCTGATACAAACAGTGGATTTAGGAAGGGCATAGTTGTCTTGTGTCTCAGTTTTGACTATTCTAGACTTTGGTGAATATGCTAGGACGCACGAGTCTCACGTCCTCTTGATGTTGTTCTCAGCTTCCCTGACACACTCAAACCTCCTCACCATACTAAAGTGTGCATCCCAAGACAGAGGAATACACCAAAGCAGGAGAGAAGTTACACCATCAGTGGCTGCCTAATGTTAATGGAATGTCCATGTTTAGTTCTGAACAGATTTCAAGAGCAAATGTCCATTTGTCAAGTTCCCTGCCCCTCCCTTGGGCCTTGCTCTTGCAATGTTTCTCTTCATTCTTATTGACATTTCCTGTATTTATGAATCTTTCTAAATCCCCACCTGTGAGGGCTAACCACACATTAAAAATTGTGTCAGCTAAATTGGTTTTGGAAAGAGGAAGTTAGAAACAAAAGAAGAAATGGCACAGGAGAGAGCAAGAACATTACTCTTTATTTATGATATGAAACTAACATGATGATGACAGGGATGGTTAATGGTGGAAGTCAGTGCTAACTCTGTTTCCTAACAAACCAGGCAAGCACTCTTTTTCAAATAAAAGCCATCACATTAAATTATAAAATGATGACATAAAGATTATGTGTGTGACAAGTCTCTCAGCTCCCACTCAACCCTTTCCTCCCAGGCTTGCTCTCCTGGCCCTAGATTTACTGTATTTTGTTTCCTGTCCTCTGTGACTAACTGGCTCAGAACATTCGCAGTTTCATTTCTGCTGACAATGCATTCATTTCCACCTTTTTGCAGAGCCTCAAGGGATTGACTTTGGTCATGAGCAAGTGAGAAGAGGAACTGAAGGCCCGGGACCATCTGTATAGCCTATTATATTAACAGAACAAAGTAATTGTTCCTGTGCAGGCATTATCTATCTATCTATCTATCTATCTATCTATCTATCTATCTATCTATCTATCTATCTATCTATCTGTCTGTCTGTCTGTCTGTCTGTCTGTCTGTCTGTCCGTCCGTCCGTCCGTCCGTCCGTCCGTCCGTCCGTCCGTCCGTCCGTCCGTCCGTCCGTCCGTAATAAATTTATACCCCACCCATCTAGACCAAAGTCTACTCTGGGCAACTAACAATAAAAAAATCGAGTAAAAACAGTATAATAAAAAAAAAATAGTAATATAGTTCAAGATGGGGAAAAGAAAACAAAATTAAAGTGAAAGGCATGCCCTTGTGCACATATATGTACACATAGCCTTGTGCTGGTTGGTTACATTGGAACCATCTCCTAGCCCTTGGTGTGTGACATTCTTTCAGAGGTTGGAGAAGTACATGTATGGAATGACAACCCAGAACCCTTCCAGACAGCATAGTCATAGACCAGGCTGGTCCTGGCATTCTAGGAGATATGCTCCCAAAAAGTCACTTTCCCAAACTCTGTGTTCTTTCTGAATAGCCCTTTCTGCCTGATAAAGGAAGAAGAAGAGGAAATGAAGAAGAGTGGGATGCAGAGACCATCTTGTGGGGTTGTAATAAGAAGCGGATGGTAAATCAAATGAAATGTCATAGCTTCGACCACACCAAAATGTAGCTCAAGGAGAATGAGAGATACTTCTGTGCCATCAAGTTGCTTCTGAAAAATGTAGCTCAAGGAGAATGAGAGATACTTCATGCACCGTTCTTCTGTGCCATCAAATTGCTTCTGACTTATAGTGTCTCTAATAGGGTTCTGAAGGTTTGTGAGGTGTTCAAGGAGTGGTGTACCATTGCCATCCTCTGGGGAATTTCTAGGGCTGAGAAGGGGTTTGACACCAGGTCTCCTAAGCCAGTGGTTCTTAACCTTTGTTACTCGGATGCTTTTGAACTGCAACTCCCAGAAACCCCAGTCAGGACAGCTGGTGATGAAGGCTTCTGGGAGTTGCAGTCCAAAACTCCTGAGTAATCCAAGGTTAAGAACCAGTGTCCTAAGCCATGGTCTGACATTTCAGGCAGCACACCTGGTTCTCCTTTCATGCCTTGCTGTTATCATGTGCCCTCAGTTTGCCCCCCAACATATGGTGATCCCATGAATGAGCAATCTCCAAAATGTCCTGTCCTCAACAGCCGTGCTCAACAATTGTGAACTCAAGCTTGTGGCTTCCTTTAGGGTGGTCAATCCACCTTGTGTTTGGTCTCCTTTCTGACTGCCTTTCACCTTTCCCAGCATTACTGCCTTTCTAAAGAATTCTATATTCTCATGACATGCCCAAATTAGGACAGACCCAGTCTCATCATCATCATCATCGTCATCGTCGTCATCGTTATCGTTATTGTTATTTTGCTTCCAGAAATAGTTTAAGCTTGATTTGATCTAGGAACCACTTGTTTATCTTTCTGGCAGTCCAGGGTATCCACAAAGCTTTCATCCAGCACCACATTTCAAACAAATCAAAATTTTCCTGTCAACTTTCTTGACTGTCCATCTTTCACACCCATGTATGGTGATTGGAAATACAACAGTGTTTCGTACATTGTTGTTGTTTAGTCATTTAGTTGTGTCCGACTCTTCGTGACCCCATAGACAGAGCACGCCGATGTAATTTCGTTCGTGACCCCATGGACCAGAGCACGCCGATGTAATTTCATACATTACTTGGCAGCAAATATATGGTTCCCACCAAGTGTATCCATAGGTGCAGAGCCACAAGAATATTTGCCTCTTTGACATGCATTATTTCCTTAGTGTGGAGGCAGTTTCCTTAGGCTCACTGAGGCACTGTCCTCCCATCTGATGGCTACCATCTGTTTGAGGTCTGGTCTCTCTTCTCATCCTGGCAAACGAGAGCAGTCATCAGCTGTTTGTAACCAGGATCCCAGCTTGCATAAGGGCAAGCATGCAAAAGTGGGCTATCCCATATTACTGCACTAGCTAGCCTTCGTGCTCTGCTGGCGTCCAACAGGATTCCAAACGAGAAAGCATGGAGATGAAATTTTGTATTTCAAGGATACTGTAAATCAGTGGTCCCCAACCTTGGGCCTCCAGATGTTCTTGGACTACAACTCCCAGAAGACTTCATCAGCACCTCTGCTGGCCAGGATTTCTGGGAGTTGAAGTCCAAGAACATCTGGAGGCCCAAGGTTGGGGACCACTGTTGTAAATGGACTTTGAGGTTGAGATGCTGCTATTTGCGATCCATGCATTGCAAAGATGACTGCTTCTTTTGGGGTGTCTATGTCTGAAATACCTCCTAAAAGGTTAATAAAGAAGCAGACATTCGCAAATGCACTGCTAGTCTCCTTGCTATCTCTCTTCCAAAAGCAGAGGAGCCATATTTTTAATTTGATGATATGTGTGCAATTGTGTGACTGCCAAAGAATTGATGCTTTTGCATTGTGGTGCTGGAGGAGGCTCTTGAGAGTCCCCTGGACTGCAAAGAGAACAAACCTATCCGTTCTGAAGGAAATCAACCCTGAGTGCTCACTGGAAGGACAGATCCTGAAGCTGAGGCTCCAATACTTTGGCCATCTCATGAGAAGAGAAGACTCCCTGGAAAAGACCCTGATGTCGAGAAAGTGTGAAGGCAAGAGGAGAAGGGGACGACAGAAGACGAGATGGTTGGACAGTGTCATTGAAACCACCAACATGAATTTGACCCAACTCTGGGAGGCAGTGGAAGACAGGAGGGCCTGGCGCGCTCTGGTCCATGGGGTCATGAAGAGTCGGACATGACTTAACGACTAAACAAGAACAAAAGTGCAATTTTCATTGCTTTAATTACATTCAGTATTCTTGGTACTGGTAAGGTGAGGAAAAGAAAGCAAAAACTTTCTTGAAGGTTCCTTCAATCTGAGTAGGGAAAATGCAAAGCAGTAGTTTTGCTTCCTGTTTCAATTACTAGTTAACCATGAAAAAGAGGAAGCCTCCACTCAGTTACTCACTTTGGGATGGGAGCAGTGTACACCCTTCAGATGCTTGCTTTTCTTCTGCACTTTTCCAGGCATGAGTAAGTTTAGCATCTTTTTCTCCTTGGCCCTCATATTTGGGGTGGGCTGGGCAATGGACCAACCTGCGAGGCATCCTCCATTTATTGGATTACAAGGATGTATGCAAGCGCTGAAACTCCCTGTCCTTGAAGTTCTTCCTGGAGGTGGCTGGGACAACCTGAGGAATGTGGATATGGGGAGAGTGATCAATCTGAATTACTCTTTGTGCAAAACTACGGAAGATGGGTCTTATATCATCCCCAACGAGGTCTTCAGCATTGCCCTCAAGCATAGCTTTTTGGAGATGAACTCGGAGATCATTGATTCTTGGATGGATTACCAGTGTATCACCGCCGCTTCTATTAACTTAGAGCTGTCTTATTTGAATATTAATGGCAGGTTCTCCAGTGATTTCCGCAGGATGAAAACACACCAAGTGAGAGAACAGGCTGTAACCACCAGGGTTCAGGTCAGAAATTTGGTATACACTGTAAAATTTGACCCTGCAGCAACCTTAGATGAAGGTTTCCAGCAGCAGCTTTTTACCATTGCTGGTCATCTAGAAAACAATCAGACTCGAATGGCTGACTACCTGGCAGAGGTCTTAGTGCTGAACTACGGGACTCATGTTATCACTGATGTGGATGCTGGAGCTAGTCTGGTCCAAGAGGACCAAATCAAATCCACCTTTGTGAAGGACAGCCAATCTATGAGAAGTTCCATCACAGCTGCTGCCGGGGTTTCTTTCCACAACACAATCAACTTCAATGCTGGATTTTCAGTTGGCACAGAAGATTTATTCACCAAGCAGTACCTGGCCAACCGCACCAATTCCAGGGTGGAGAGCATTGGAGGATTTCCTTTTTATCCTGGCATTACCCTAAAAGCTTGGCAAGAAAGCATCACCAACCACCTGGTGGCTATTGACCGTTCTGGCTTGCCTTTGCAATTTTTCATCACCCCAAAGAACTTGCCAGGATTGCCCCATCTTATAGTGAAGAAATTGGCCAGGACTGTGGCATCTGCCATCTCCCGCTATTACAGTTTCAACACTTACCCTGGATGCACAGATCCTGCCTCACCCAACTTCAACTTCTATGCCAACACTGATGACGGGACCTGTGAAGGGACAATGACCAACTTCACTTTTGGAGGAGCCTACCAAAAGTGTGCTCAGCTGGAAGGACCGGATGCTGCCATACTCTGCCAAGGCCTGGAGCAGAAGAACCCACTCACTGGAGCCTTCTCCTGCCCAGCAGGCTATACCCCCATCCGACTGAGCTCCCAGCAACGGGAGGAAGGATACAGTCACTTGGACTGCCATCGAGACTGCTTTGTCTGGAAGTTGTTCTGCAAGCTGGTATGCAAGGATGTTTTCACACTCTCAAAAGTGCAATTTAGCTCTTATTGGTGTGCAGCAAGAGGCACGGTTCCCGAGAACTCAGGATTCCTCTTTGGGGGCCTCTTTACCACCAAGAGCACCAACCCGATGACCAATGCTCAGTCCTGTCCCTCCAGGTATTTCCAGATGAAGCTTTTTGATCAGCTCAAAATTTGTGTCAGCCGCGATGTAAGGGGGCAAAGGTACTCTGTGCCCTTCGGAGGGTTCTTCAGTTGCCAGGTAGGCAATCCATTGGTGGGATCCCATAATGGAACAGATAATGACCCATACCCCAAGAGGTGTCCTGTAGGATTTAGCCAGCACCTGGCTCTGATCAGTGATGGGTGTCAAGTAGAATACTGTGTCCAGGCTGGGCGCTTCACTGAAGGGTCCTTACCCCAAGCCCGGCTCCCACCCTTCACTCACAAACCTGTCATGAGCTTCGTCGCTACTGACACTGTTATGGTAATAAACAGCAATGATGGCCAAATGTGGGTCAAAGACTCTCAGACCCAGTTGTGGAAGATAGGCAACCCTGCTGAGGTGCCTCACAATATGAAGAAAGGTGTGGATGTTGGTGGAAACCTATCAACACCTGCTGAGGTGCCTCACAATATGAAGAAATATGTTGGTGGAAACCTATCAACGGGGGAGGCAGCTGGGATAACCATCAGTGTCACCATTGGCTTGGCCATTCTGATTGGTCTGAGTGTCTATGGGTGCAGAAGATACAAGACAAAAGAGTACCGTGAGATAGAGGAAGAGGAGAAGAGCCTGATCCTGAACCACCCTGCTCACAGCCACCAAAATGAAATGGAGGATGCTCCCCAGCAGATACAGGAAAACCAAACTGTTTAGTCTCTCTCTCTCTGTGCATGCGCGTGCGTGCGAGAGAGAGAACTATGTCAGTTTCTATCTACCTGATACCCCCCAGCTGTGTTAGATTAAAAACCTCATCATCTTCAGCCAACTTGGCATCATCCTGGCTCTGAATGGCAGGAATTGTAATGTAACTGGTGTTGCTATTAACCGTTCCTATTAAAGTAGCAAGACCATAAGAAAAACTCAGCAGAGAACAGGTGCTTTTAAATCCTTTCTTAAACATTTCTGAAATATTTTTGATCCAATTCTAAAAGGGGAGATCCACTGGCAAAAAGGGAAGTGAAGCAAGCACTCCATCTGGATGAGCTGTGCAGCGTGAGTGGAAGCAAGAGCAAGGTCAGCAGCTACAAAATTCACTTTCCATTAGATCAAGAACACAGGAAGCTGTCCAATATCAAGTCATATTTGGTTTACCTAGGATAGACTTGTTTAAACTGACAGGCAATAAATCTCCAGATCAAGTCATATTTGGTTTACCTAGGATAGGCTTGTTTAAACTGACAGGCAATTTCAGGCAGTGGTAGGACTGTATCTGTACATGACTTTTAGAGAAGTTTAGGACATAATATGCTCACTTGGTGTAACTGAAAGCCTAAACTCATTCTGATGATTACAAGGTGGTGGTACTCTGAGACTGCCATGGGCATACACATGGACTTATTTTGACCACAGGTGCTACCCAGTGTGTCATTTTATTAAAGCAGGTTGGGTTCCCCGAAGGAAACAAGGCAAGTCACTCACAGATAGTTTCAATGATTGAAAGGATACCTGGCAGAGATGCTTAAGACTGGCAGGGGGCTGGTCTTGGTGATCCGTGGTGTCCCTCCAGTTCTGCAAAGGCAAGTCACTCACAGATAGTTTCAATGACTGAAGGGATACCTGGCAGAGATGCTTAAGACTGACAGGGGGCTGGTCTTGGTGTTCTGTGGTGTCCCTCTCAGTTCTATGACTCTGTTGTTCTTTCTAGATCTCTCTCCTTGAAGGTCTTCTTAAAGTAACCATCGTGTTTAAGATGCTGAATTTTTTAGATAGTCTCCAGAGGATGCTCAAATTTCAAGGCAGATGGTGCTGCATATCCAGTGCTGGTAAGCAGCCCCGAGCCAGGAATCTGCATTTTTGTGTACTCAAGCTGATGCTAACAGTGCCTGAACCCAATACAGTGAATACTATGTGATCCCCAAATGAAAGAGGAATGATGCTGTGCAGGGATGCTGTTCTACTGAGTAGATGAAAGCTCAGGAAAAGTACTTTCTCACCTTTACATCATTAAAAGCCTCTTAGCAATTTCCTTTGCTTATCCACTCTCAGCATCCTGTGATTTAGGGCCTGTCCACACTGTGGAATTTGGTGAGATACAACCAGTGCTTTAAAGATCCTTATTTTCAGTGCAATCTATTTTAATGAAGTACCCATCTGTAAAAGCAGAACAAAGAGCTATTTTGCATCTCAATGAATCATCCCAAAGATTGCATGCCCTAGCCCTGTGCCAGAAAGGTAAGGGCCAGCTGTTAAAGGGATGGCTCATTTTTAAACAGAAGCACAAGCGGAGGAGATCTTTTTTTCCTGTGCCAAATAATGCTATCCGGGAATCACATACCTCAACTGTATGCCAGTAAGGACAGGCTCTTAGTCACAATCATGCGTGGAGGTTGCAAAAACTGCTACTGCTGCAGACGATGCTTGGCTCCTTTTCACCTCTAAGTTTATATTGCAGCTGGATAATGCAACCTGACAAGGATGCTCCACTTCCCCACTCCCTCCCCACTTTCTAACAGAAGATGGATAAGACAAGAACACAGCAGTCTCTGATTTCTTATCTTCTTACTAACAAAACTGTAGACTGACTAATAACAGGAGCAGGCTTTAATTCCCACATAGTAATGCCAGCTAGAACAGAGCGGGAGAAGGTTTAGCTAGCATTTGGGGGCAAGGGAACACTTTGAATTCCTGAAAAGGAAAAAGAAAGCATGTTTTTGTCCCTTGTGTGTATAGCCCTTAAGCTCCGAGGAGGAAGAGGAAAAGCAAAGAGGGAATGGGTAGGGAGAGGATTCAAAGTAACTTTAAAGCTCAGCCCACAAAGCACAGGGGCTCAGGGAAGCAGAGAAGCTGCAAGCTGCTTTTATCTTTGAACAGGACTGCTCTTCCACCCCCTCCTTTTTCCCTTAAGCCCATGCCACAAATGTAGCTTTGAGTGCACAAGGCTGGTGCATTAACACAATTTTATTCTATTGAGACTAGCTCCTGTGTTCAGTCAGTAGTCTGCGTGCTCCATTACAGGAACATATATCCTCACAGGAAAGGATGACAGGAAAATGCACTCTTCCATAATGTACCAATGAGTCAGCTACGGATCTGCCTGTAGATCACAGCAGGTTGTCTACAGTATCTTAGGTTTTTTGCTTTATTTGATCTATCAAAGGCATATAAAAGTGTATTCAAATATATTCCAGAATGCAAAAAAGATATATTGTGCTCTTTTACAAATGTATCAAACATGTCTGATAGGTATTGGCAACATTTTGCATACATTGCAGCTTTAGAAAAGCAAAGAATTTATTCTTTCAAACTTGCCTCAGTGTGATTGTTGCATTTTACTTTACTGAGCTGGTGGGGCATCAGTTTTGAAGGCTGTTAAGTTGCCCTCCACAGATTCTGGGGATTCAGATCAGCCCACACCAAGATCCTGTTGCTTAGTGTAGTAAGTGGTCTATAGTAGACCTATTGAATCAGTAGAGATTTGGTGAGTCAACTCTTCTGTAAGTTCCATTGATTCAAATGGGCTTACTTCTACCAAGCACCAAGATGGGCCTCAGCCATCAGCTTGCATTTTCCCGAACCTCTTCCTGACAGACTTTGCACCACAGGCATTGAGCATCCAAAATTCCCAGTGTTGCATTTTAAATAGTGAAGAAAATGGTTGTTGTAGGTTTTTCGGGCTCTTTGGCTGTGTTCTGAAGGTTGTTCTTCCTAACGTTTCACCAGTCTCTGTGGCCGGCATCTTCAGAGGACAGGAGTCAGAACTCTGTGCTTGAAATGTCTGTGCTTTGAGAAAGCAGTGAAGAAAATGTTTAACTATTTAATTTCTGCTTGTCACACAATTGTATATGGCACAGGATCTCTCCCAGGAAAAGAGATAACACAATCCTAGATTACTGGGATTACAAATAGATTCTGAGATTGATTCCAATTGATTTCCTGCTTCATCCCTTCAAAGGATCCGGCCACCACCTCACACTAAAATGTGCAAGATTTTCATTCTAACCACATAATGGAAGCATGTTCCTAAACACTAACGTTCTTCAAACTGTGTTAAGAGCAATTAGTGGGTTTTTCTATTAATATTTGGGCTGTACATCAGCCCTTGTTCCCATTTAGACAATGCCCCTCTGTACTTGTTTGAAAGCTGCTATTCTCCTAGTTAAGCAAAAGTGTACACATCCACCTGTTCAGGAAACAGAAACAATGAACAAAGGACAGACACGCAGATTTAGAAAACACAGACACAAAAACATTCCTGAAACTGGCAGTAGAGTTTTCCTTTTATTGTTACACCCCCAAGGGTGCCATCCTTACACAATGCAACAAACTAGAGACGGGCAAATGCACCGTTCACAAACAACAAACAAACAATATATAGCATGGTTCCTCCCACCATGCCCCCTCCCTCCCTACTTACCTACCACTACCAGCACCCACACATCCTGCTTTTGGGACATGACAAAGACAAGACGGGGAAAGAAACCCTGTCCATCATCCCCAATAACAGTGTCACCTCAGACTGATCATAATTTTCTGTGAAGTATAAAATCCTTAACAGCTGGAGAATTAAAGGAAAAATTAATCAGCCAAAAGTAAAATAAAAGGTAAATTGACTCCCTTCAGATGGGAGATGACAGTCTCTAGAAGGTCACCCTTCAACATATTTACCCTATCCTGGAGGCTAAGTTGCATCTGGGGGAATGCCAGAGTTAACTGAGGAAGTAGGAAGATTCGTGGGGAAGAGAGGAATGACCGTTTTAATATATTTAGAGGGAACATTGAAACCTGCTTGTAAAGAGATTCTGTCAAACCAAATCTCTAGAGGGAAGACACAGGTAATTGTGAATTCAACAGGGAAGCTGATATAGGAATTATTTTGTACAATGGAAGCCCAGGCAACTCAGATCTGGTGATATGTCCTTGTTACTATTATTACGGAGTAAGTGATTCAAAGATTAAAGAATGTAAGTCTTATGAGACACAGAGAGTTGGAGAAGGACAAGCAGAACATAATTTTAGCTACATTAATGGCCTATAGGAAGTGATTTCTGAAACCAATTTAGATTTTCAGAAAGAAGCAGGCATACTGGAATGTTAACATCCTCTTGAAGGAAGTGCCACTAAGAGGCTTGAGGCAACATGGACCTAGGAGCCCAATAAAATTAAGAACCTTAAAGACACACCGCAGACTTAACAACCCTTGTGACATCTCTGGGCTTCTCCTCTTTCACGCACACCCAGCCACCACCCATGGGGGCAGGCATGCAGTCAGTCACCTCTGCAAACATGCCCCTTTCTACCCTTACATGCTTCTCTTTTCAACCTGTCCCCTTTCTCTCTCTTCTCATCCGAGCCTACCCAACAAGATTTCACAAGGGTTGTTAATACATTTTAAAAACAACACATTTCCAGTTAAAATACCAAGGGTAGAGAGAGATGGGTATGAATATATCATTGGTCTGGCAATTTCAAAATGGCTGCCAGTCTTACCTATATGCCAAAAAACAGGCAACCTGGTACCCTCTTATGTTTTGGACAACCATTTCCATAAACCCTGACTCTTTACCAGACTAGTTCAGGCTGATGGGATTTGCGTTCCAACACACTTGTGATGTTACCAGGTTGCTCGCTCCTGCCTATATTGTTATGGCAAAGGGCAATAGTCGTAGTAGTCGCACTTAGCCTCCAGGTCTATCTTAAGTACCGTTATGTTATGCATCCTAGCTTCAGTCTTTCTCATACATTACAAATACATATATAAATATATACATATATACGGCAAACCCTCCAAAATATGAGGTAAATAAATTCAAATCAGAATCCAGGGGACTCCCCCATACAAATAGTTCAAAGAACCCACCTTGAGAGCACATGAGGAAAAAAACAGTAAGCATACCACCTCCACCACTTCCATAACTTCATTCTTTTTAACCCACAATAGGAACAGATCAGACATAAAACAACACCTGGGATGCAGTTCACAAAATGGAAAAAGAGTTTGGGCCACACAGCTCTGTTACTGGTCTGTATACCTGACTTTAAGCTAACCAAGCCGATTATGCATCAAGAAACTCAGCTGGATTCAGCAGATTCAGCTCAAGAGGACAAAATACTAGCTCTGATTGGTCTGGAATGGGCTGGCTTTGGAGGCAGGTTCAGGTGGCCAGTTCAGAAAGGCCAAGTTCAAGGAAGCAAGAGGTGAAAGCTCCTATTTGAGGTTCAAGTCCAGAGGCCAGCTGTAGTTCTTTGATTTTGTTTAAGACCACTTCAAAGTTGGTTATGGAAACTTGTATAAAAGCTGACCCAGTTTGGAATGTTATCAAAGAGAAGGAACGTCCAGCCTGCTTTCCTAAGGGACTGGTACAGATTCAAGTAGGCAGCAGGCTAGCTTCTTTGCTGCCTTGGAATGGAACTGTAGGTGGGAGCAGCAGCCATAGAAAGTGGGAGCCTGCAAGGAGAAAAGTACCAGACCAGCAAACAGTACATTTCTGACTCACACTGAGCCCACAACATGAAAGCAGTGACATGACAACAAGGAACCAGGCACCTAGCTGGGTAAAGAAAGAGAAAGAGAAAGAGCGAAAGAAGACCAGGGCTGGTTTTTAATTTTCAGTGCCTTTGAAAAGAGCCAACTTGTTGACTCCTTAGTGGTGCCACCAGCAATCCCTTATGGAACTGCTTGCCCCCAAGGCATACTTTGCATTTCACAGAATTTAAAGTGGCTCCCTTATTTCCCTCCCCCCCACAAAGATGCCCCTGCATCCCAGAAAAGGATAAGGCTAGGGATCCGAACTACGAACATAAAGCAGGTTTAGGTACTGAGGTTAATATAACCTCAAACCACACCAGGACACTCTATGCTGGGAAAAAAATCTCCCTGGTTTGCTTGCTCCAATGAGCCAAACACTGTGGGGGGGCATACAAGAGTAAGCCAGAAGCTTCTCATCTGAGGAAGCCCCTCAACAAATTGCTGGAGAGGCAGAGCTGGCTCTTTTAAGAGGCAAATGGTGGCTGTGGCAAGAGGAGGAGAGGACAGAGCAGGCACAGCAGAAGAGGGAGGAAACTTGATCCATGGAATATGGCCATCCTTGTAGCTCCACCCCCTATGGGCCAAGGCCCTTCTCCTCTCCTCCCATATTCTCAATCCTTCTCCTGGGCCACACTCTCCTCTGTAATGCCCTGAGCTACCAGCTCAACCAGCACATTGTCTAGGTAGTTGGGATCAGGGTAGCCATGGCCAGTAAGGTTGGAGCCAAACTCAGTCTTGTGATGTATCTCGTTCCAGATCACTGTGTCTGACTCGCCAGTGGTGCTTGACGTACCAATGGCAAAGATCAGCCGCCGATCCCAGGCTACCAACAGCAGTTTCAGCACCTACCGAAGGGAAAGGATATGCATTAGACAAGTTGTGTGCCCAAGTCTGAAGGGTCATTTATGGTCATCGATCACACTTGTGTGCACTTCTACACTCGCAAAAACTTATATGCTGGTAGGCAAGAATCTAGCCAGAATGCATGGATAGATTTCACAACTCATGCTTGTGAAGCTGTGGCAATATGACAAGCTCACACAGGTCAGTAGCATACTGGTTGAGCAATAAGCCCAAGCGCAGTTGTCTTTTCCAAAATATATTAGATCAAAGCTGGAGAACCGTTGTCTCTCCAGACATTGTTGGGATGTCATTTCACATCAGTCTTATTCAATCTAGATTAAAGAGGAGTCACAGTCCTTCAGCATTTGGATGGCCACAAGCTTCCTATTCCTGCCTTAACCAAAAAGGAAGCTTCTTTCCTTTCCTTTCCTTTCCTTTCCAAAAGGGAAAAACACGTGTTAGTAACAAATGAATGCTTCAGTAGGTGCTACTTTCCCATCAAAAAAATAGCATTCTTCTGTTGGGAAGAGTTGCCTAGTGTGCAAACTGAACTACTGTCCAGACAAACAGAATTTCCTCTTCCCCACTGTTGATATTTAATCTACTAAAAAACAGGCCTGGAAGGACCAGCTATTCTTTACACTGGAAAAAAAACTCTCCCCAGACCTTTCCTCTTGTCTAAGGGTGCAAGGATGACACAGTGAGGGAAATGGGATTAACTCTTCATTCTTTTGCTATAAAATCACGGTGGGGTGGGGAGGGAGACAGCATTCTGTTCTCTTCAGTGTAAGTGGCCACACAGGTAGAGGAGGGAAAAAAAGCCTTCTAACTGCAGTTCTATTTGAAGTACCTGTAGATTGGCAAGTTCAAAGGAACTGCCTTAAGAGGAAATGCATGATTGATTCTGTCTTCAGTCACTCATTTCCTCATCTTATCTTGCCAGCAGTAGAGCTTGTTAAGTGGTAAAATAATAATAATAATAATAAATAATCAGTAACTCTGCCCAAGAGAAGCTGTTAAAAATGATGAAATGTCTTGGGAGAGGGGTTTTGCAGAAAGAGGTAAGTGCGGGTGCTGCTTTCATGTGTGTGTGCGTGTGCATGCTCTCTCCTTGTCCTCTCTCATGAAGCAGAAGGTGAGGGAGGGGAAGTGCTTTGTCAAAACACTCTCTCTCTCTCTCTCTCTCTCTCTCTCTCTCTGTGTGTGTGTGTGTGTGTACGCGCACACATGCATGTTAGTTAGAGATGCTGGTTTAGTGGTTCATGTTGTTTCATCCTCCAGAGGAACAGGTATTTGGTGGTTCCCAGCCCCACCTCCTCTGGCAGGCACCCACAGAGACAGCATCCTGGCTTCCCTGCCACGCCTCCTCTGCTTGCTGTCTCTGAGTGGGCACACACCAGAGAAGATGGGACTGGGAAGCACTGAACACCTGCTTGAACAAAGGACAAACCAACATGAACTGGCAGTTCATGCCCATCTCACAGGTGTGTGCACGCGCACGTGCTGAAACTGCATTGATTCAGAGTGACCATACACTCTGAATTGAGCCAAAATGATCTCTGACTTGTAAAAGTAGAAGACGTCTGATGGGGAGGAAAGGCTATAGATTTGCACTGTGGGATTCTGGGTTGATTCATATTTCCCGCTGTGTTACGTGATCAATGGGAAAAATGTGAATCAGCCCATCCCAAACCCATAGTATTTCCAACAGTTTTTGGCTGTGTAGTGAGACTCACTTCTCTCCTATCCCTCTTTGAAATTCTCTGCATCATATTAATGCCACTTATTAGAAGGCAGCACCATAAGCTAATATTTAAGAAAAAAGGGTTTCATGTTTGATTCAACAATATCTGGGCTTTTGAAAAGTTATTCAGCAGAGCTTCAAAAGCTGGTAATACTTCTGAACATCTGAGAAAGCAAAGCGCTCTAGCTGCAGGACTTAAGACTTAACCTGCTTTCAAAGGTACGCAAGTGCTTTGTTTCAAACACAGGAACTCTGGAAAAAGCTCTGATGGATTTTATCGGAACTGCGACTTCAGAATACTGTAACAAGGCAACTTAGGAAGCTTCTGAGATGGAGATATTAAAAGAATCTGCCAGGAAGGGAGACTGATGCCAGATTCAGTCTAAACCTGTGGTTTCTAAACTTGGGTAGCCCACATGTTCTTGGATTGCAACTACCAGAAACTCCAGCTAGCACAGCTGGTGGCAAAGGCTTCTGGGAATTGCAGTCCAAGAGCAATTGGGATACCCAAACTTGGAAATCACTGGTTGTCACGGAGTTCTTCTGGACCCGGGGGGGGGGCACTGGTGGTGAAGGCGGGAAAAAGACACGGAGGCTCTTCGTAATTTTCAACACAACTGCGTTTATTAACAATTGAACTCAACGCGTCCGAATCAAAAGAGTCTTGCAAACATTCTTCTGGCAACACACGGTATTTCTTGGGGCGCACACTTAATGGATTCTCGAAACCTTCTAGTAAGGTGCCGGTCCGAACCGCTCCCGATCTGTCATGGGACCGAGGGGGGCACTCCGCACTGCGCACACCGTGCCACAGCATGGGTGCCTCGCCCAATCTCCCAGGTCTGATTACTCTCCTCCCACCAGGGTGGTTCCGTGGATGGACCGTTACAGTCCATTCTAAGGGCTCGTACTTAGCTCCTCTCCCTCCAGGGAAAACAGGATCCGGAAGCAGACCTCCTCCTGTTACTAAGTTTGGAAAACCTGCGGTATCTCCAGACGCTGCCCCAAATCCGAGCATGGGCTCTGTCTGCATCCCTCGGTTCACCAGTCTCTCCGGGTTAGTATCTGTCCAAACATTAAAGACGCGCGCGCTTTTTTCCTCCTTTATCTCCTCCCACAGTATAAGGTCCAACTCCTCCCCCCCTTCGTCAGCAAGACACACCTCCGCGGATCTCTTCTCTACTACATCAGCCTGTTCTATCTCAATCAATACCCCTTCTATACATCCTTCCTCTTCTGTGGTAGTTTCCTTTGTGGAGGACGGCGCACTCCTTGTCTCTCCTTCACACTGGTATAAACCATTAGGGTAAATTACGAATGCTGTTACTGAATGTCCCAGTGCCATATTTCTCCTTAGCCAATCACTTTTTATCAATTCCTCCCTCAATTTAAGAAGGGCCAAACTAAAATTCTACAGATTTTTCTAGTAAAAGCAAATACAGGACAGTTCTGCAGAAGACTGGGATCTGACATCTTGGTTCACCTAATCCATTATGCTGTTCTTCACAAGAGCTCAGTCTACTACAGTAGTTGTCTTTAAGTGGTCCTAGGGGAGCAATTTATCTAGTTGAACCTATTCACCCACCATTTCTTCTCCAAGATAGGATGACAAATGCAGTTGGAGCCCAGGACCCTGGTGTTGAATCCTGGGGAGAAATAGCTCCCAGTAGTCACTTAATGTCAATATTGAAGTGACGGCCTACAGGTGAGAGCATAACATTACCCAGATTACCTTGTACTTCTTGAAAGAAGAATGGAATGTGCTTTATTTAAACCTCAACATCAATGTATTTTATTATTCACCCACAGGCTGAAATTCAGTTGTGTAACTTACACCTATGTAAGACTGACAAAGGCACCAAGTAGGAGCTCTTTTTTTGGCAACTGAACATTCTCTACTTCTGTCCTGAGACTCCCATAGCTCCCATGTAATCCCTTTTATTGTTTGGAAGATATGGGAGCTATAGTACAGGAGGAAGTCTTTAATCACCAAAAATTGCTGCTGATGGTACTGGAAGATTTCAGGTATACTATTTTAATACAAAATTTCAACCATAATCATTCTCTACGTGGTACATTTTTCAAAGTGTTCACAAGGTGAAAGAGTGTGTTCTCAAAATGGTGCATCATGTGAAGAGTATCTGGTGTATGTGCAAGAAATTTGGAGCAGAGTTGAAATCTCAGTGTCTCAACTACTGATCTAGTTATCTCTGTATATCTCATGTATATATATTTATTTTTTATTATGAACTTAAAATATTTTTATCCTGCCTTTCTCCTTAAAAAGAACCCAACCTGTACAGCATTTAAAAACAACTTATTTAAAAGCTAAAAACAGTGGGTGTACGAGTATTTAAAAAGAATTAAAGAAGTATACTAAAAATGATAATAAAATCAATACTAAAACACATTGAAGACAACAGAGCAGAACAATCCATTTTTAAAAAAACCCTCCCTCTACAGGGTGAAATCCTGTTGCTTAGTGCAGTAAGTTGCACAAGAGTGAGTGCAGTACAGCACTCCTTACACCAGCACAGATGTCCATCCAGGAACACAGTCTGTTCCAGAGACTTCTTCCTAAGCAAGTGTAACACATATAGTAAAGCACTCCACTTACCTTTCTGCCTCGTTCACTGTCTGGGAGATAACAGTGTCGAGGAAAACCCCGTGCAGTGAAGCTCTTCCCAGGATTTGGGTGTTCAGGTCCCTGGGGATGGGGGCAAGACAGAGAGAATTTTAAGCAAAGCTGAGTAAGAGCTACAGAATGAGAATGATACCAGTAATTTCTAAACACCACACTAGTTATGGGTGGAGAGCCAAATGTAGGATCTTTCAAGGACTCTTTACATTTTCTCCCCACCCCTACCCCCATGGAGCACAATTCTTACCTGGACGCCTGGTGGGATGTTGTAGATGATTCGGATGGTTTTACAGTCAGGGTGTCCAGGCAAAGAATGAGGAATAAGGTGATACTCCATCTTTCCAGGAGGCTGGGTGCCAGTTTTCACCCCATAGATGGTTTTACAGGTTGGGCACTGCAAGCTCCCATCCTTAGAGCAAAATGAATCATCAATTAGACCAAACCATATTTTTACAATAGCATGTTAGGGGTAACATTAATTAATGGTTTTCCTAGCATCATAAAATAATTATCAAGGAAACATCACTGATGGTTCCTAACTCACTCTCCAATGAAGTAAAAAGCATGCCACAATCCTCTTAACCCCAAGTGGAGAAGCACAATTCTGGATTAGAACCCAAATCCCCTCTTTCCACCTAATTTGCCTCTGTTTATGCCCTTCAAATGTCTCCCTCAAATAACTACTGAGGATCATCCCATGCCCTCTACCTAAGTTAATCTGCAAACTCTGAAATGCAAAATGTGTTCTGTCACTGAGTTACAGTATTTTCCTGCCATGTTTTACAATTCAACTTACAAAATAGAACCCCCCCAATTGAAAAGTCTGTAATTGTGGACTTCAGTAAGAATATTATATCTCTTACATATATATTTTTAAAAGCAAAGGAATACCAACCTCTACAATAAATGATGTATATGTATTATTGCTCTAAATCTGAACAATGTATTGTGTTTTGCTGACCAAGACAGAAATAACAGTGCTATGCAAAATAACAACAACAAAACAGAAAACATAAAAGAACACCTACCTATACACTGCTCTATGTATGCAACCATAAGGCCTGGAACAGACATGCAGAATGCTCCACCACCACCACCCCCATTTTATTCTAAACTTCAATTCCCAGAAGCCTCAATCACCATGGTCCATATTAAGGAACTGTGGGAACTGCAGTGCAAAACATTTGGTTCGTCTGGCAACCCCACCCAGTAAACTTAATTTTGATTTTTTTTTAATAAAAAAAAAGATTGAAATAATTAGTATGCTTATAACATATCATCAAAGATGTGTAAATTCCCAGAACCTAGCTCTCACTTACTAATGAATGAATCTTATTACTGTATTGAGTGTGGGAGTGTAGCAAGAATACTGTATATTACATATTGTAGGTGTGGCAATGACAGGAAAAAATATACAATGGTTAAAATCCGACAGTAAGTCGAAACTAGAATTGGCCCACTGAATCGGCGAGACTATAGTGAATCAGCACCTATGTATGGTATATTCCATTGATTCAATGGACCTATTTTAGTTGCAACTTACTTCTGGATTTCAGCCATTGTATGAGAGTGTATGAGTATTATACATTCTGAAGCTGCTCCTTACTTAAAAAAAAAAAACCCTATACGTATAAATGCAATTTTTAAAACAGAATTGCAATTAAAAATTAGCAGAACAAAATACAGTGGATGGTGAGATACAGGACTATGTTTAAACACACAGACACACACTCCTGAAATTCACCAAATAATGAAGGCCAGCAGAGCAGCTTCCCTAAGGTTCACAAAGAGGAGACTAGATGGTTTCCCAGAGAAGGAGTTATGGACTCTGTGCCTCACAACCAAAAATGTTGCCCTGCCCTATGTATCCACAAACCACAATTCTGACAAGAGTGGAAAATGTATGAGAGTGTATGAGTATTATACATTCTCAAGCTGCTCCTTACTAAAAAAAAAACACCTATACGTATAAATGCAATTTTTAAAACAGAATTGCAATTAAAAATTAGCAGAACAAAATACAACGTGAGGTGAGATACAGGACTATGTTTAAACACACAGACACACACTCCTGAAATTCACCGAATAATGAAGGCCAGCAGAGCAGAATGATCTTTATCAGCTTCCCTAAGGTTCACAAAGAGGAGACGAGATGGTCTCCCAGAGAGGAAGTTATGGACTCTGTGCCCCACAACCAAAAATGTTGCCCTGTCCTATGTATCCACAAACCACAGTTCTGACAAGAGTGGAAAGTGGAACAGGGCCTTCTTCACAAATTTCAGTAAGAGGAAAGACCAGTGCTGTATTCCCACCGAGGTGGTCCCTATTTATCTGCTTGCATTTGCTTTCGAACTGCTAGGTTGGCGGGAGCTGGGACAAGCGACGGGCGCTCACTCCGTCGCATGGATTCGATCTTACGACTGCTGGTCTTCTAACCTTGCAGCACAGGCTTCTGCGGTTTAGCCCACAGCGCCCACCCACGTCTGTTGCACTATAGCTCTCATCAACTACACCTAGCATGCACAATGCTCTTTTCTAGTTAGAACTGAGATGAGATTTTTAGTCCTACATATCTTAATGGGGGAAGCCTGATATTGCAATTACTTTGTTTGATTCTGCCCTAGGGAGGTCTGGGTCACCCAGCTTTTTCTACAGGGAGAGAAAGGCATCATATATTCAATATGTTGAAACAGATTTGCAGAGGCCCCAAGTCTGTGTTGCCACCAGGGTGTACCCAGTAAGTGATTAATTCTTTAATCAGAAGACTGCTATATTTCCAAAGTTCTACATCACTGACATCTTCATCAGTCAGCACTGCAGAATACCAACAGTATTTGTTTGCTCTTCAGCATCAGCGTTCATGGGCATTAGCATCCACCTAATGGATGGTGTATCCTGCCATCTCCACTTTGAGAATTAAACAACCATCCCCCAAAGCATACCTTGTTCCCATTATTGTACATGGCCACAAGGCAGTGAAGGTGGTACATGTGGCCACACTTGGAGAGCTTGCCCACCAAATCTGGCTTGACGGCTGGCTGAGGTCCCTTGTAGCCTGATGGGGCAGAAAGGCGTTCCATGCAGATGGTGCAATCCTAAAAGATCAAAAAAATCAGGATACAGTATTAAACAGAGTACAATATATGTATGACCCCGCACGCGGGCACACACACACTCACAGAGAGAAAAATCAGTCTGAAAGATGCCTGAGCTGGAACTCTTCCCACTTCCAATATCCTCTGTGGAAGCAATGAAACATAACTGGGCAAAACTCATTTATCTTCATGTCTGTGCCAAGAGTGAGCAAAACTGTGGCCCTCTAGCTTTTACTGGACCACAACTCACATTACCTCTCACCACTGCCAATGCTGGCCAGGGCTGATTGGGACATGCAATTCAACAATACTTAAGAGAACCTGTGCCTGCTCCATTTCATCTTTCTCACTGGATGTTAATATCCAGAATAGTCTTTGCCCATATGCAACAGAGCTCAAAAGGACACAGAAATCTGCCTTCAAGCAGGTAAGGCTTTTGGCGGTATAGCCCAAGATTACTCGTTCTGAGCCACAGTGATTTCTCTATCTCTCGTCCTTGTTAGCACAGCCTCTATCAAGCCACTTTAATGTTACTAGCACCTTCGCCAAAACTCCCCTGCTCTATCCCTGCTAATTATTTCTGAACCCCCAGCCCCTTGCTTCACCCTGAACTCATTTGCAGAATATAGATTATAAACCTGCTGGGCAAAGACTGACCCACTTTTCTATCCTGTTCAAAGCCCAGCACATCAATGCTAAATAAATGTTCTGCAGTAATAGCAAGACTAATGTTTTGAGTTGATACACAGTGTACAATATAAAACAAAGCAAATGCGCAAAAACTGTGCACTGAGGAAAACACAAATTAGCAGCAAGAAGTTTTATGTTTTTGTCAAAGTCTCATATCCAAGCCTAGCATCTCAGCTGCTGTACTACAGTTCCCTGATTATACACACATAGATTGAGGTATTACTTTAGAGAAGGTGAACAGTAGAAAATGACTGAACAATTACTAAATAATGAAACAGACTTACCTCATCAGGAGGATGGTGCACTTTCTGTAGGTACTTTTTCAATACTTCTTCAGGACTTTTACCTGGACAAGGGGAAGGAAAAGAGAGTGTTATCATGTTGGAGGTATAATTTCTGAGGGCTAATGATCAGGTAAATGGCACAGAAATATATCAGACAGAGGGATGAGGGAGGCAAACCTCTGGCAGCTTTTTAAAGGATCAAAAGGATATATAAGGGAATTAGACGGATATGCCAAAGAGGAGTTAAGAAAGTCACATTCAAGACAAACAACTCAGAAGGATATCACAGTAGATGGTACAGAAAGCTTTTGAGCAAGCCACCAGAACCGACAGCCCCCCCACACACACATTTGTCCTGTTCCAGCATACATTGTCCCCTAGGGTAAGCAAAGCATGGCCAGGCTTGAAGACAGATGGGAATGGATTTAGGCTATGTTGTCCAGAAAACCTTAACCATAGTTTGGTGTGACATCCAAAATATCAAACCAAGGCCTATGGTCAGTTGCCAAGACAGACTTATGTTTGAAATGAGTATGCAAAGAAGTTTGTTTTAACCATGACTTGGTATGACATCCTTGTTACATACAGCACTGATGTTACCTGTCTGTCATGGGTTTGGAGGGAAAGTTCCATCCTATGGGGAGTGGAAGGCGGGACATCAGGAGGAGGGGCTGTACTGTATATATATGTGGAGCGTGTGTGGAGAGTTGAAGAGGAGGAAGAAGCAGCAGCTGGGAAGAAGAAGCTGGTGTGGGAGTCTGTGTGTCAGACAGGGTACTACTGTGTGTCAGTCAGTACCAACCTGATAGGTTCAGGTGTCTGAAGGGTTAGCCAGAACTGATAGGTTCAGGGTCTGTGCTTCAAGTTAAGTGTTCTGTGTGAACCAAACTGTGTGCATGTATGAATGAGACTAAGCCACGTTACTATATCTTATTCACTTGATCATTTTATTTTCCCTGTGTGTTGTTTTAAATAAACCTTATTCTTTTATTTGTTGAAAATCCATCCCTGGTCTGGGTGACTTCTTATAGGGAATGGTTGGTGGCAGCTCAGTGAAACTGTGGCATATCCCAGTAGGTCTGGGTTTGTCACAATCAATGAGTATGCAAAGAAGTTTGTTTTAACCGTGACTTGGTATGACATCCTAACTGATGAACTATTCTGTCTCCAGAAGCCTCCACACCCTAGAGATGCAAGTGTCAAATAAACAGAAAATGAAAGCATAACAAGTAACTCTCACTGGTAACTCTGTGAAAGATAATCTGCCAGGCACTCTGCCCAAAGATCAGCTAATGATTACCAGCACAACAGAAGTCACAGAGTAATTAACTGAGTCAAACAAGACCAGCAATTACATTCGTAGATCTTCGTAAAATTAAGAAATAGAGCAACTACGGAAGGACAACTCTCCAGTTCAAACTCTTCATTCCAATTCACTCTCAACTTCATCTCCATGCTCAAGCATGAAGTGTGCAAAAATAACCCATGGTGTGAGTGTACCTGTCTCTTGGTCCCTCACAGGGATGTTAAGATATTTCTAGAAAAGTCTCCATACCATTTGCAGCTGTAGTCTAAATCTGAGCTAAGCACTATTCCTCAATTATGTCCATGTCTACTCCAACTGATTTGTCCCTGTGATAGAAGGACATCCTGCCTTTTGCTGCTTCCACCCATGTTATCTCAGGCATCTGAGACCAACAAGTGAAGATTTGACCAGAACAAGGACCACAACTGAAGAATTGTCTTCTGAATAGATGGGCAATGACAGGCTATGGAAGAATTTTGGCCCAGCACTAAGAGAAAGTGAGTCTCCACAAGAAAGAAAAACTAACGAAGGGAGTATTAGTTACACAATATTCTTGCAGAGATTGAAAGGAAAACAATGTACCTTTATCCCACACCAACCTGCTTCCTTAATAACAGGAATTATGCCTTCTATGGGCATAAAGTGGCCAGACACTGGCTAGCATATAAGATCATCACATAAAATGCTCAGAAGACTTCTGTACCTGCTCAGCATCTACTGGCACCATGGCAGCATTCCCATATTGCCCAAACAGAATTCCCAAATAATTAGTTGCACAGGGTTGGCTCACTATATTTAAACTCGTATGGTAATGTTTTCTTATGTGCTCTACTAACTCCATCTCACTCTCTTTCAAAGGATTTCTAACTGTCTAGAACACTGCTGTCAAGATCAAACAGCTCTCCATCTTCCCCACAACATACAACCAGAGATGTGCTTAAAAAGAAAGTGCAACAACACACCACGGGCCCTGCATACCTAAGTTATGGAGGAATGGCTTTCACTAACACCCTTTGTACCTTACAACTATCTTTGGTAGCCAGTTTTCTCTTAGAACTATGCCTAGTTTAGTCACTTTGCAAACCTTTCGGTACAGGTTATGTTTGCTGACTGGGGATTGTACAATAGAACACAGAGTGAATCTCAGCAATAAAACTATAAAACTTTATTATTTTCAAAAACAGGAAGATCACGCCCACACACAAAGAATAAGTATAAAATGTTTCTCCCCAAGTAAACAAAAATAGCCTTCAGGAATACATTAAACAAAAACAGTTGCACTGTTAAAGATGTAAGCAGAATTATCCAAAGTACAAGCTAAGCAAAAGCAGGAATGTATAATATAACATAACCACCAAAAGCAACTTATAAGGAGAAGCTTCTCTGTTAAGCTGTTCAGGAAATGTTTATCTATCATAATACCTCTGTTTGACCTGGCCCAGTGAATATAAACTTCCACATCTATTGTGATGCCCAAATATGGACACTCCCTCATTCCACATTTTCTCTCTCCCTCATCAATATTGGCTGGGATTTATAAGAGGTGAAATTCAAAACATCAGAACACCAGGTTCCCTCTCCCACCTCTAATTTCTAATGTATGGGACGCTCTAGGAAATATAATCAGTACTGGCTGTGCGCCTATAAACATATTCTTCGTTTACATGGTTCTATGGCTGAGCCTGGATATCATACTCATCAGCCTTATTATAAGGTGAGAGGCAAAAGACTGAATAAGATGCCTTCTTTGTTAACAGTATTATTCCAGCTTGTTTACAGACACACAAGAGACACCAGAACAACTGGTTAGGTGTTTGGCATATTCCTCCCTTTCCTCTGCAGGTCACACCGAAATATGGATTCTTATTTGTCAAGCAGATGTGAACAACTCTGGAGAAGGGACAATTATAAAAGGTGGAGGAAAAAAACATATCAGACATAGAGCACAGTATGCTTGCCACAGCTGGGTTGGGAAATTACAACAGGGTGGAGGACATGTATAAGTCAACAGCAGGAGACCTGTTAGGTAATGCAACAGATGGGAATCATCCAGGAGAAGCTTTTTTGGAAAAACACTGGTTGGATATCTGCCATCGTCTCTGGCTATCAACAGATTCAGCTGTACACTGAAGCAGGACATAGATGGGGGAACAGGAGGGAGCAGTGCAGGGGAACAAAATGAAGTCCTCTGAGAACAGCTTTTGAGCAACACCAATAGCAGAAATTTAAAAATATGTTCTTATTTTAGATGACAACTCCTAGGGAATTTTGACTCTGAACAGTAACTTCACTGAACTCATACATCATAGGCAATCTTAAGAGAAACTGAGATGGGACTGAGGAAATAGTCTCTAGTCTAGTACTTGGGAAAACAAGAGTAAACTGTGCAAAGCAGAGAGTTATTGCAGGATTTCTGAGCAGACAAGTTCTAGGAGGAGCCAGTTAATGTTAACAGAGCAAAATACATGACTGTCACCCTTGTACCAGAAGGCACGGGCAGCTTGGGATTGCACAGAGGGACTTTGGCTGAACGTGAATGAAATGAAGGAGGGGTGTGATATGATCACAAGATTTTATGTAACAAACTGAACTGTGACTTTCCTGTACATCTCAAACCATGGTTTGACTTTTTTCCCTGCACTTTGCATGGTTTTCATGATGTTGGAATTGTTATTTTCTGCAACGCACCCTTATATGAGAAGGGTGGGTACTTCTTCAACACTACAATGGGCTCGCCATGGCCTTTTGGTGCCTTCAAGTTGTACAATTCTATGAGAGCTGAAAAGATGCGTGTGTGTGGGGGGGGAATTCTCCATTCTTACCTTTCTTTGTCTGCTTTTTGGTAGTCTTGCGGCAAGAACTGGAAATTCCAGGGATGGGTTTGATTTCACTCTTACTGACCGGAGGGGGATGCAGAATCAGCTTTGGGGGTCGAGTGAGGCAAACAGGCAGCCCTGCAGCACTCATGAGGATCCCTGTGATTCCTGTGTGGGAGAGGGAAGAAAGGGGTCATTTGAGATACTGATTTGTCCTTATCCCCCCTTCATCCCACATGCTTCCCCAACTCCCCAGATACTCCATTCAAACATCCCCACATTCCAGAAAAATTAGAAATGAGAAAATCACCCATCCCACTCTCCAGTTTTCTCTGCAGGACATCCTAAACTTTTGGTTAGTGGTACTCTACAATCTGGGTCAAAGGGCAATTTTCCTCTTTGCAACTTCCACCTCTTATAATATATCACACAGTAAAAACCGGACCAAAACGAAAAGCTGATAAATTTCAAAGATCTAGGCTTGCTTTCCTTACACTAATGCCCTCTAGGCACGGGGAGTCATAACATTCAGGGTGCCTGAGGATGATGAAAATTGCACTCTATAACATCTGAAAAGCACCCAGTTGAGAGGGCTGACAATTGCTATTTTTTCCAAATTGAATTTCAAGTTTTAAAAAAATATGCTGAATATGTATCAATTGTTACCATGAAATACAAACAACAAAGTAAGCTATGCAATACTTCAAATGTATATCATTATTATTAGTTTTATTTGTATGCCGCATTTCTCCCAACAAGGGACCCAAGGCTGTATGTAGATACAGGTATACTAGAATGACAGCACAAATGTGTAGCCTGCATAATTAACTTGTAAACCGGCCAGAGAGTGCTTGAAGCACTATGGGGCGGTATATAAGCAGCACGCTTTGCTTTTTCTTTCCATATGCTGGACTACAACTGATGTCTTTTTCACCCTCTTAGAATATCATCACAACTCCATGAATAAACCAAAAGGCAGGAAGTATTTCCATGTCCCTATCACAGTGATCTGATAAATACCTCTAAAATGCCCTCCAGTTCCTAGGTGTTCCCTTATTTAGGCCATATAACAGTCACAACTGTTTGGGGCCCAACAGTGACTTGTGGTCCACTGGGCACTGTACTCCTGCCCTACCTTTCTCATAGTTAAGCACGCATGCATATGCTGCTCAGAGTACAGACTGCTTCTTCCAGCCTTGCAGTGATTCTTCTTCCCTACCTGCCAATGCTGGGTTGACTGGGCTGGAGCCATTGAGATTTTTAACAGGAACTGTGGGAACCCTGTGAGGAAAAACATGGGGCTGTCAGAAGCAGCTATGGAGCAATTTTGTGCCAGAGAATTAAACAAATCATGGAAGGAGAATATTTCTAAACTTCAAAGGACATAGAATCCTGAAGAATGGAGCTGGAAGCACTGTGAAAGCTAAGCAAATGGCACATTACATTTTCCGCAGATACTACATGGGAAAAGCAAGTTCCTTTGTTCCTTTGATCCTCAGAGTAGTTTCTGTTAGGACCCCAAAAGTGATAGCACCATGCACCTGCCCAACAAGCCTGGCTGGTTACCTCCCTGCCTTCATTTGCTGGTAGCCTGAGGCTCAAAGACACTCCTCAACTGAGCAAGAAGACCCAGTCTGGGAGAGGTGGCACAGATGTATCTGAAAGAAGAGTGTGTGCCAGAGACAGGAAGGACTGGTTTGGTGAAAGAACAAATCTGTGAGTGTGACAGGCAAACAGCTCCTTAAATGGGAGTATGCATATATCTCTCTGTGTGAAGAGATTGGGAAGGGGTCAGGTATGCACTGGAGATTGTCTGAGTTCTGAAATGCTTCATTTCTGGACTACCAGCTTCCAAAATCCACCCCTGGATCTGGGAGTTGTAGTTCAAAAAGGTAACTCATTCAGTCTGTGGTTCTTCCAGCCATAATGATCTTCTGCTTCTTCAAATCACAGACAGGATCAACTATCAGACTGGGAAATATATGAGCAAGGCAACAATGCGGAACAATCCTCACAGTGCAAAAATTCCTTTCTTTTTTCCAGAAAGCACTACTTCTTGCAGCACTTCAATTTAATGCTTATTTTCTGTCCCAAGATATGTTATTCTTCAGTTTTAACTGAAGCATCTCCTTTAGGTGCCTACCTATAGCTCTATACCAATCAGCAACAGCTTGATCAGCAGGACTAATCCAAGAGTCCTTTAAAATAATAAAAAAATAATAGTTATGTGCTGTCCCCTCATTTTGTGCCACTGCAAAATAGAGGAAGCCTTAAGAATTAAACAACTTTGGAAGGAGATTATTCCTAAATGTCAAAGGGCATATCAAAATCCTGAAGAATGGAGCCAGAGGCACTGCGAAAGCTAAGAATATTGTGTGTTACATCTTCCACAGATACTACACGGCAATGATGGGGACAGCAAGTTTTGTGCCATCCTGTCATTCGGACTTATGGTGATTCTTTCCAGGATTTTCCAGATACGTATAACGTACTCAGAAATTATTTGCCACTCCCTTCTTTTGAGGGCACTCTGGGGCGTGCAGGTTGCCCAAGGCTACAGAGGCTAGCTCTTCTCCACAGAGACACAGTGGGGAGCTGAAACTCAAACTCTGGCTCTGTAGCCTGATACCTAACACACTGAGCTATCACATTTTATATTCCTTAAGTGCAAGAATACACATGAAGTAGTAAGCATCCATAACTGTCATGGAGAGAAGCTGTACAATGCTAATTTCTCCACCATGATATTCTTGCACAGCCACTACCTTGTTAATAGAGTTAGAAAGACAAAGATGGCATTTAATCTGCTTCCGTAAAAGATGGATACATTACATCTTTCTCTGCTCTCAACCTTGCAGTACCCCTGCAAAATGTGAGAAGCGGATCGTAATAAAATTTAGATATGCATGAGGACACCTGAGAAAATTTAAAAGGAATTGGTAAATTTAAAAGAATGGTCTGATTAGGGTTTTATTTGTAGAGAAGGAACAGAACAGAGGATTCTGAAGCTTATGACTGAAGGAAATAAAAATTTGATTGGACAAAGATGTTACCTTGTGGTTAAAAGTGTATGCCCACAACTCTCTTAGCATGTGCCCATGTGACAGCTTTGTACACTCCTCACTCAAAAGGACAGTGCAGGCATTGTCCCAATGACACCTCAGTTAAGTTCAAGGAGGACTGCAATATTTTATGTCAAGCTTTATCAGCAACTCAAGGCCACCAAAAGGCAACCCAGTTTGAAGAACTCTGCCTGTCTCTTGTCTTTCGTGACAGTCTTCCAGCCAAACCATGGCTTCAAATATTAGAAAGACCTGAATTTCAGACCACAAGTTAATATCATTTAAATATGACCATCGTAATTTTGCCTCTCAGACAAAAAAAGGGAAGTGCCGCCATTATGGAAGCATCTGGACTAAGGATAGATGCAAGTATGTATGAGAGGGCTGCGGGCTAGATTATAGACAGAGCAGGGGACCTTTTTAGCTGGACAATGGTTGCCATAGTGACAGACCAAGGCCTAGCTGGAGACAGAGAATTCTCTAATCTAAAGACAGCAGCATTTCCCCACCCTCCCCATTCGACAGCCCTCTTCTCACTGCTTCTTTCTCCAGCTCTTTAGAAACTGGTTGTGTCTCCAAAGTTATTCACAGGGCCTTTTGTTCTGAGAAACATCGCCTTGGCCCCTTCCTCCCTTACTCTCATCCATGGGAAAGTCTTTTTGGAAGGGTCACGGGCAGGGAGGGGGCTGCAACCAGGCGACAGAAGGCCGATGGCAAAGTCAGACAAAAGGGAAGAAACACGCTAATTAGACAGCCAAGACAGAGTGTTTTGGTCAGAGTCGGGGAGACTGAGGATGGGGTGCCTTCTAGATTAGGCAACAGCCTGAATAGCTTTCTATAGGCCTTTTGATAGGAATCCTCCCCAGATCTGAAGAGGAGAGAAAGAGAATGTTTCTCTTCCTCATTAAAATTCAAAAGCAGTTTTCAGGCCTCCCCATTTTATGGTTAGAGAGGTCTGTGGCATTTGCTACAAGGATAGAGGGGGCCTGAGGAGGGTAGCATGGACGTGTCAGCCACAGGCAGTCTTAGCTCTTCATCAGGAATTTTTTATATCACACTGGCAAGTGTCAACAGCATGCAGCACCAACACAGCTCTATTCCATTGCCAGGTTCCAAATGCACTTTTTGAGATTCTCAGTAGGATCCTTCATTTCCTAGGGATTTGTGTTCCACAGATATGACCAACTATCCTATTTTAGAAGTCCTTTTCTTTCTCCTCATCCCTAAAGCAATATTTTTACATTCCCAGCTTGTTTTTTTAGCACTACATTTTGAGGTACTAATTACTGGTTCATCAACTGAAAACTTTTGCCCTAACTGCACAAAAACGGAAACTTGGCTTTCCAGCAATATGGCAGGCAGTTCTAACATGAGATAAGGTTTACAGTAGTTTGATTCATTTCTCTACACTGAATTCAGAGATAATAATCCAACACTGGCTTCAAGTATTATTGATTCTACAGTAACCCAGTAAGAGACTGGTATTGGATGCCAACCTCCAAGGGCCAAACTAATTAGAAGGAGATCTTGAAAAAGAATTTCCCCAGATCATTCTTTTAACTAATAAGCCAATGTTCCATGGTAAAAATGCTGATCTTAAGAAGTAAGGATGCAACTAAAACTAGCAAAAGTTCTAATCTTCAACACAAAGGGTTTCTTGACACAGAAACTCCATAAAAAAAGAAAAAGGAAAAGAAACCTATCAACTGCTACAAGATTTTTCACTCCTATTCAAAGAAGAAATCGGCAATAGCAAAAAACAAAACAAAACTTTTTGGTGCAAAAATGCATATTTTGCTGGAAAATGTTATTTTGCATAAAACCATATATTTGATGCAAATTGCAAGGATGTGGACACAAATGGGTTTCTGCAGATTCTCCTTTTTAAAAAAATTCTAAAATGTGAAAAATTTGCAAAAACTCTCATAATTTCACTGGATGGCAGGGAATCTTTAGAATTGTTTCATTCTTACCCACAAGGATTAAATAAAAGAGGATCCACATTCCTGAAAAACTATGGACCCCACACAAAAGTGAGGGGATAGCCAATGAAAGGAGTCTGCCATGGAAAACCAGGGTGCTAGGCCTAGACAATAGCCATGGGCAGTTACTTACCCTGAAGCAATTAGCACACGGGACTGTGCAATAGCCAGGCGCTGCAGGTTGGTACGATTCAGTGTATTAAGGCTGGCACGTGTCACCTTGCCATTGGCACTGGGAGGGCTGGCAGGGGAAGTAGTGCTGGCGAGTGCTGGTGTGCTTGCTGCCTGCCTCCGGGTCACTTGAGAAGCCAAGGTCTTCAAGGAGCTGCGCATGGTGGCTGTTCCATCTTGGGGTTTGTGAACTGATGCTGGAGTGGGGAGTTTAGCGCTACCAGAAAGGGAGACAGCTTTCCTTGGGGGGAGTGGCGGCTGCTGCTGATGCAGCTGCTGCTGGCTGGCCACAGCTCCAGGTCCTCCGTAGCTTCCAGTCGCTACTGCTGCCTTGATGCTCATGACCAGAAGACACTGCGGACAAGTGCAGGCAGGTGCAGGGGGCGTACTGGCTACCCCGGGGCTTGTTGGCCATGACTGGGATTTAGGCAAGGTGCCAGTGACCAACGGATAGACCATGTCAAGGCGACGGCGAACACGACGCTTGCGTTGTGTCTGACGATTGATCTGTCCCATTGTGCTGAAGTCTATGATGTAGCAGAAGCCAATAGATGTGAGATCAATCCAGGGATGTTGTTTCTCATAGGCATGCTGGATGGTGATGCCCACCTCCATGTCATAGGGGGTCCAGGTGCCATTGTCATTCTCCCACTCCCACACCACGCCCTTCCCTGGTGCTGACGAGGGGTCATAATAGCTGCGCCGCACTGGGCGAATGGTGCCTGCAAAGATAGGAACAAGAAGCAGGTAACAAAAGGATGTCCAGTTACAGCTCTGGGTCACAGAAGCACACATGGAGAGGGATGCTGTAAGGAAAAGGTTACTTCAGGAAGTCTAGAGAGGAAAGAGAGCCAGTAGGCTCTTTCAGCTAGTCAGCAGTTAAGAAAACACAGTCTGAAGCTTCATTACTCACAAACTAATCTGGTAATCTTAGGCAAGTTTCATTTTTCTCAGCCTCTAGAAACTCTATACAATATGGGGATAACCTTATTAATCTACCTTACTGGGGTATTGAAAGGACTGCTGAGCTCATCTATCTTAAACATCCATGACCATCTTAGAACTGCAGAGCTGGAAGAGACCCTATAGATCATTTAGTTCAGCCCCTGTCAAAGAGGCACAGTAGGGAATCAAACTACTGCACCAACCTCTGGCTTAGCAGTCAGATACCTAAACCACTGAGCTATCCAACAAGCACGTGTAAGCAGTAAGTAAGGATTAAAGAGAAACTGAAAAGGCTACCAAACTAGGTCCTACACATTAGGCTCCATCTTTCTGCCCATCACATAAGAGACTGTAAAAAGGTGTGCCTGCAGAACACCAGTTTTTCAAGCTTACTGCAGAGGTGGGCGATGGCACTATATAACTTCATTTGGCAATTAGGAAGTGGACAGGATCTGGATCTTGACTGACAGAGAGCATGTGGGAAGCTCGGCTGAGTTTTAAAGACAAATATCAGCAAAATCCAAATACATAAGCTCTGCTACCTCATGAGCTCAAGTTCCATTCCACTGCTTTGTCTAAATATGCAACATTTAAGTCAATGGCTGAAATCCTGTTGCTTAGTGTACTCACAATTAGAAGAGACCCACTGAACCAATGGGGATTTGGTGAGTCAACTGCTCCATTATATTCCATTGATTCAATGGGCCTACTCTAGTTGCAGTTTATAGGATATCAGCCACTGATTAGATGAAGCCCCATCAGTTTTTGAAGCCCCTGCTTCAAATTCATAATCACTGTGGTTGTATGGAAGCAAAATGTCACCTTCTAACTTTGACTGGACTGTACAAGATCTCTCACTTGGGTTTCATCCCAGAGCAGATGTGTTCTGTAATTAAATTGAAAACCATGAAGACATTACCAAACACTTGTTATTTCTACCATTCTCATTATTCTGATACTAGGTGATTATATATTGAAAAATTATATATTTGCATAATACAATATGCAATTGAAATTACTGCTTTCTATACAGTTCTGTGATTCAGGGATTATTTTGCTGTATTGGTGCAAAAGTTACTGATGTACACATTTGTGAACCATGCTGCACTCCCTTTTTCATGTTTTATCTGATCTTAAACCACATTGTCAGTCCTTGCTGTCATGGAAAGGCAACACTGAATATGCGAGCAATGCAATCTTGAAATGGAAGGATATCTGGTGGTCTGATGGGAGCTTTATGCACTCTTCGTCAATAAACTTGTAACGTATTCTTGTGTTTTTCCATGAGGGACCATTATTAGCTAAGGACGCTACATGTACTTACTGTGCACACGGAAAAATTCTACTCAGTGTAATTATTATGTAAAGAAATAGAGAAAGACAAAGGGGAAAAGGCAAGACATCTCTTTCAGAAAATCTGAGAAATGAAAGGGTAATTAAAGCCTAGATTAGGAATGTTGAATGGCCAACAGAGAAGCACACCTATCTGAGCTGGAGAAAATAAAGAGAAGGTGGAAACAATATACTGAAGACCTATACAGAAGAGACAAAAGGATGACAGACTCCTTTGAAGCCTAGAATGAAGGACCTGCAGTTTTACAAAGTGAAGTAAAAGCTGCACTGAAAGCATTAAGAAGAAATAAATAACTAGGAGTAGATGGAATAGTGACACAACTATTTGATGCCACAGAGAATGAATCTGTCAACATCTTAACAAGAATATGTCAACAAATATGGAAAACAGAACAATGATCCAGTAACTAGAAATGCTCAATACACATTCAAAACCCTGAGAAAGGAGATGCCAAGGAGTGCAGTAACTATAGGACCATTGCTTTAATTTCTCATGCAAGCAAAGTGATATTCAAGGTGCTGCAACAAAGGCAAAACTTATATGAAGCGAAAAACATCTGGTATTCAAAATGGATTTCAAAAAGGAAAGTACACTTGAGATCACGTTGCAAATATCCAGTGGCTACTGGAGAGCACCAAAGAATTTCAGAAAGTCAGTGTATGTTTTATAGCACAGGTTCCAAACCTGGGTGTTCATAAAGTGTTTTCTGGGGGATCACCACACTTAAACAAACTAGTAGTTTTTATCTGCATGCCTATGATGAAGCTAATAGGTTACTAGTTGCTTTGCTTTCTCAATAAGGGTTAGAGGCACTGAGTTGGGTTCCGAGAGATGACGGGAGTGGGTTGGGTTGGTGGGATGAAGTGTGCAATCAAAAAGAGCCCCTTTCTTTCTTTTTTTCTTCCTCCAAAGAAATGCAGGGATTCTCCTTTCTTAAGTGCTGCCTCTCCCTTCCAGGACCTGGAGATTCCCTCCCCAATTGTGCCTGAAGGTGATGTTGATTGATCCCTCCCAGCTGGGCTAGGGAAGCTAGGAAAGCTGTGGGCAGAGTAGGAGCAGGCAGAACCCAAACTGCAAGCCCAGCAAAGCAGAGGGGAGAGGACTCCCCCCATCAGGCAGTAGATATCTGTTATGTGCTATCAAATTGCTGCTACTTTGGGGAGGTTCTATTAATTAATGCTCCCTCAGGGCCCCCAAAACCTCACTCCTATAGTCAAAAGCCCTGCTGCAGTCTTGTATAATAAAGACTGTGGTTTATTTATTGAGTCAATCCATCTCAAGTTGTCTTCCTCTTTTCCGATCATTATTGTCTTTTCCAAGGAATTTCGTTTTCTCACAATGGTTTAGTTGTTGTTAAGTCGTGTCCGATTCTTCGTGACCTCATGAACCAAAGCACACCAGGCCCTCCTGTCTTCCACAATGGTTTATCCACTGAAAATGCATTTTTATGCAAATGTAGCGGGGACTGCAGGTTATTTGGCTATTATAGAAGGGGGCTACAACTAGCAAAATGTTGGGAAACACTGCTTTATCAGTTACAGCAAAGCCTTTTATTGTGTGGATCATAAGAAACTATGGATCATTCTCTGAAAGGAATTAGTGTGCCTCAACACGTGATTGTCTTGATGCATAACTTGGATTGTGAACAAGAAGCAACTGTTAGAACAGTATTGGAGAGACAGAATGATTTCCTATAGGCAAAGGTGTCAGACAAGGGTGCATTTTATCCCCTACTCTGTTCAATTTGAATGCAGAAGATATCACATGGAAAGCTGGACTACATTTGGATGAAGGAGGAATGAAAATTGGTGGAAGAAACATCAGTAATAATCTAAGATACACAGATGACACCATCTTATGAACAGAAAGCAACAATGACTTGAAATTTGTGTTAGGAAAGTGGTAGAAGGAAGTGCCAAAGCAGGACTGCAGTTGAATGTTACAGCAACAGGCATGAATACAGAAGAACTACACAACTTTAGCATTGAAAATGAAAAAAATGAAATAGTGAAAGATTTTGTATACCTTAGTTAAATTATCAAACAATGACTGCAGCCAAGAAATCAGAAGAAGGCTTGAGACTCAGAAGGTGGGCAATAAAGGAATTTAAAAAGATAACTAAGTGTAAAGATGTGTCACTAGGGACAAGATCATGCACACACTTGTATTTTTGAACACCACATATAGGTGTAAAAGCCGGAGAGTTAAGAAAGTTGATAGCAAAAATTTGATTTGTTCAAATGCTGCTGTGGAGGATAGTTTTTTGTGGAAACCCTGGACTGTCAGAAAGACGAACAGTTGGGTTACAGAGCAAATCAAGCCTAAACTATTTAGGGAGGCAAAAATGCTGAAACTGAGGCTGTCATACTTTTGGCACATCTTGAGAAGGCAGAATTCTCTAGAAGAGACAAAAATGTTGGGAGATGTTGAAGGCAGCAAGAAAAGAGGAAAACCAAAGATGAGATGGACTGACTCCCTAAAGGAAGCCATAAGCTTGAGTTTAAAAGAGCAGAGCAGGGCTGTTGAGGACAGGATATTTGGAAGATTGCTTATTCATAGGGTCATCATTAGTAGCAGGTAAGTGGTGACACATAACAACAACAACAACAACAACAACAACAACAACAACAACAACAACAACAACAACAACAACAATTAAACCCCTCTTCCTCCCACATGTTTTCACAGTAAAACAAGGTTCCCTCCAAGCTGGGTGTACACACCTCCCTCCATGCAGCTGTCTTTCTCCTCCACGCAGCAATTATGTTAGGTTCTAGTGGCAACAGAACTGTGCGTGCATGGGGGCAGAGTCACGCGCTCAGGAGCAAAGTCACAAGAGAGAAAGGCAGAGCTGAAAGTTAGAGGGTACATTGCAGTGAAATAAATCTTTATGGTTTCCAGTAATATATAAATTAGTCTTGACGATGAATCTTACTACTTTGAATGTGTTTTGGTATTACTTTTATTTTTAGTACGGTGTTTGTTTGATCCTTTTCATACTTGTATACCAACCATTGTTAGCTTTAAATACTGTCTTTTAAGGGTCCTTTTTAAGGAGAAAGACATGGTAAAAATATTTTAAATATATAATTAAATCCTAACCCATACTTATTTTTTCTAATATCACTGGCCCGTGCCAAAGAGATGAACAATCCTCAGTTGCCAAGCCCTTTCCAAACTCTCTTAGCGACCATATTCTTGCCAAAGAACTTCAAACACTTTGGCCCACTTGGAAGAAGAATCAAGTACACATATGCTCCTTCACACATTTATTCTGGGCACACTATTTGCCTTATAGTCCCTGCCTTTGTGTTTCTGGCACTCCAATCATGTCATTTATTACAGTTCAGAATTCTAGGTGCTACTTAAATAACAACTGGATACTCCAGAGACAAAACTCTGGTAGAAAACAAGGAAATCCCA